TACTCATCACTATTATTTGTGTGTAGGAGACTGAGATGCTTTTAAAAAAAACACATATCAAACCAAGCAGGTGGTTGTCTTGAGGGATCATCATCTCGCCAGCCTTTAACTATAAGGTTTAACTAATCCTTAAGATCTTAAATTAATATCTGAAGAAGCGATTTCATAACGTTCGGTGACAAAATTAAATTACTACGCTCTGCATGTCTTTATTACCGTGTGGCTTATGTCTAATCTGACACTCCTATAGAGAACTCCCCATCTTTAGACAACCTAGTTTAAGTGCTGAACATCCATTCTAACTGTCTAATTTTTGCTAAAAATCTGCTACAAAGTGAGTAGAACTTCATTCCTTGAAAGAGGTTATGAATTAAATGTTGTATAAGAGCATATTGCGAGGCGATTAGACTTTTTCGGCCAATCATATAAAGTCATCAAAAGGATATTAAGATTATATGAAAAGATGAACTGAAGATATTACTGAATAATTAGATTACTTATCGTCAGTGAAGAATGAAGGACTTCATAAATGCTCAACTTCGAGATCAACAGGCTGAATTTTGTGAGGATCGATTGTGTACCGATTAAATTGTAGCATTACGGATCATTGTGGAACAATCACTTGAATGAAACTAAACACTCTATATCAACTTCATTGACTACTATAAAGCATTTGACAGCGTGGACAGGACAACACTATGTAAGCTTCTTTGACACTACGCCGTGTCTGAGAAGATAGTTAACATCATACGGAACTCGTATGATGGATTGGACCACGAAATCATTGAAGGAGGACAGCTAGCAGACTATTTTAAAAAAAAGGGCCGGAGTCAGGCAATGTTGCCTACTCTAACCCTTTTTCTGTCTCCTGGTGATCAGCTGGATTATGAAGACGTCAACATCTGGAGGTAAGCAAGGGATGAAGTAGACATCCAGGATGCAGCTGGACGATCTGGCTCTTCTTTCTCACACGCAAGAACAAATGTAAGAGAAGATGACCAGTGTAGCACCGGCCTCAACAGCGAGTTTCAACACATATAGGAAGAAAGCAAGATTCTCCGACACTACACAACATGCACCAACCAAATCACTTTTGATGAAGATGCCTTGGAGGACGTAAAAAGCTTTACATATTTAGACAGCATCGCTGACGAGCAAGCTAGATCCGATGCAAATACAAAGGCATGGATTGGCAAAGCAAGGGAAGCATTCCTACAGTTTAAGAATATCTGGAACTCAAAACAACTATTAACAAACATCAAAGCTAGAATTTTCAATCCACACGTCCGGATAGTTCTATTGTATGGAGCTGAAACTTGGTAAACTCCGAAAGCCAGACGCATTTGATAGGAAGCTAAGCTTATCTCATCTGTCATTCAATAGAATGAGTCAACATCTTTTGCATAAACTTATTTACTGTGTTGCGAATCCCAATAAAAAAGGGGCCCCTAGATATCCTGCGTAAAACCGGCTTTATATAGTATAAAATGAGTTTCATTTTCAAATCCTATTGTATCCTTCCGTGCAGTTATTATTTTCACACTGGACAATTTAACCTTATAATAATTCAGTTTATTTATTGATGCTTATTTAATACTTATAGCTTTGATTACTATTGCATCTTTTTAAACTTGCCAGATATATTTTCGACAAATTACAATTTTGTACTTTTTTACAATATCGACTTAGAAAAATTATTATGCATCAATATGACATTTATTTGGTGAATATATATGCATAAATGCAAATATTTTTTTGATGCTTATTTCATGTGGTCCAAATCAGATGATATCAAAATATCCGAATAAAAAGCCCATATGTTAAAATAAGCAGCTGATAATTTGGACACTAGAACAAAATATCTGCCCAGTACTTCCTGACCTTGAAGTCAGTCCGTAATGTGAAGCTACGAAATTCAACACCCTATAACAAAAATTAGCACGTACTTACAAATGAATGTCTTTCTAAAGTAAGTTCTGGGTTTACGGAGAGCAACCGTCACTATTGGAGTCCAGTTACTCTGGAAGGAAGATAACTATCACTAATGGCAATGGACAATGATTGCATGAAATCAAGAACAGACTGACACTAGAAATATAAACTATTGAATGACCACTCAAATGATCTAATGGCTGAATACTCTCTGAGCTCCGATTAACCTGTGTTAAACTTCTGTTGTGGTCAGAGATATTTAGTAGTTAGGAATATCATACTAGGTCGAGACGGTTGTCCGCTGCTTCCTACTACCCAATAGTTGTTGCCTCAGTAAAGTCTTTTCGTGATACGAAACTACTGACTAGTTCAATTACAAATATAATGAGAACTATAAAATCGAATCTATATTATTATACCTGCACTTTTTGACAGACAACTTAAGGTTTATTTAAACATAAAGATACAGTATATACCTTAGTAGTTTGAATGTGACTCCATAATGATTCGTCCTGTTAGGACAATAGATGACTCCCTCTCACCTACTTGTAAGTAGTATATATGCATTTACTCTTATTTACTTCTGCGTTTTCATAAGATAACTCAATCAAACTAGTAGAATCAACTTTCTGCATTTTTCGCCATTGGTAAAGATTTTTCATAAGCAGAATAGTGCGCTTCTTTTAATTTAAGTGGAATATTTTGTTTAAATTTATACTTACTGATATGACGATAGGAAATTTCAAGCGTTAATCAATTAACTGAGTGGTAAACTTGGAATACCTTAAATCGACAGTTATTCAGATACATAATAACCCGCATTTTCGCTCATCCCTTTTATTTCCTATCAGTAGGCATAAGAATGTCTAAAATGACTTTGTTCCTACTATTGTAGTGAATGAGAACACAGGTGGGGGCAACCGAATTGTATTTAACGAAAATTACAGAGTTACTCAGTAAAATCGGAAAACCATATCGTAAATCGTTCATTTGCAAAAGATCAGTTCATCATATCGAACTGGACTGTTCCTGTTGCCAAACATCAATCCATTGTCACTATTCATGCGTTTCATACAAATCCCATTGTTTTCTAACTCTTCCTTTCTTGATCTTCCCCCCATATTATGCTACCAGACCTTACGTTGACACTCACGTCATATACTACTTATAAGTAGTTCGCACCACAGCACCACACTATGACAGCAACTAGAGAATATCTAAAGATTACTTATTATTCAATAGTTAATTTAATTTATTTATGAGACTCATCAACAGTACGCATTTGTGATCAGTATGGAAAGACAAATCCAATGTTGTTAAATTCTGCGGTTAGCACATCTGTAAATAAGCCGAATAAGAAACCGAATGATGTACGCCTTATAGTGTATGCCATTTTCTGACTTGGCGTGGCTCTGGTCACTTTTTATTTGGTTGATACCCTCCTACTTTTCTTTGACTTAATTGACTCTGAAGATTAGATTTTGTGATAGAAATGTAGAAAATTCGACCATAAAGCTTGTATTTGTTAAATGAAAACTTTTATCCAGGTCAACAAGAAGCGAAGCCTTTATATCTTATTCATAAGTTTCAACTTAAGTAAGCTTAACGGAAAAATGCATATACTTGATTCCAAAAACCGAACAGAAATACTCTTCTTAATGACATTTTCGCTAGCATATTTGGCAAGAAAAAAGAGATGAGTCAAAACTAAGGTTGTATTTCTGTTTTTAGCTTATGTAAACTCTGAAGGTAATCAGGAAAACTTTTTTCCGATTTGATCTATTCGTACAAAAGCTGTTAATTTCGTATCCTTTTCGCACAAGTCAATAAATTCACTAAGGTTTCCGTTCATCATTCAATCCACAGAAGAGGAAATTTCGTTTTCGTCAAGTGAATATCTCTGCTAAACAATTAAAAGTCATATATTTGGTAGACACAAGCCCATAAACAAGAAAGCATGATTTTGTTATCGTTATTTATAGCGCACCGAATTACATGAATCGTACTGCTTAATGGTCTAGTCTTTGTAGCAATACTTCATGACATCACTATTAGTACACGCATCTAAATGTAGTTTATTACTTTTTAGCCACCAAGGCACAAAGATGCCTTTTACGGAGTTTTACGTAATACGGTTGCCAACATTCACTCTGTACACTATATGCTTTTTATTTTTGCTTTTAAATAACTAAATAATCTGACAATAATAGTAGTGGGATGGAAAACAGGCACTTTCGATTATTCTCATCAAAAACTTCGAAAAAAAATGTATGTCCCTCATTTTGTTAATTCATCTGTGAACATATGCTTTATCAAATAAAAAAAGTTGAGAATTGCTTGGTACAACCATGATATACATCTTTATTTTCAGTTGCCAGTTGGCAAACTAGCAATTAACTGGGCCTTAGAATTATAGTCAAATACTTTTTAATACTCTTTGATCCGCAATTGATACTCTCGAATTCAGCTAGTTTGTCAACGGATTTATCTTTTGGTTGGAATTTAAGAACATTTAAGAATATAAACCAATATTGCGACCTCAATTATTTCAGCTATTTTTATATTATAACTCTTAGGCTCTATATTTCGTCAAATATAAAAAGAAATTTCGCTCAGAAAAGTAGATGAGATGCTATTAAATGGCAGACAAGTTAACATTATTCTCTTTTTAGGTATAATTCGTAATCACTTTATAATTCCTCCCTAAGAATACAAGTTGAGTGTGTGACGTTATCACAAGTGATTTTATTAAGTGCTTGTGCTGGAAATTATCCAGTCTGAGCGGCATTTGTGGAAAATGCATGTCACTTTAGGTGTCATAGTCTTTGAGAGCTAAACAGCTAGAAAAATAATCCAGTAACTAGATATTAGTCGTTCTTGTTTTACAGGATTAAGAAATGCTAAGTCGAAACAAAAAATATACTTCAACGAGGAATGCCTTCTCAAAACCTTACTTCGCTACATTTTGATGGACCAAAATCTTCAAAGTATATCTATTAATCAAGACTAAAACAAACAGCACGGAAACTACGGAAATAAGTAGAATGTATATATTAGATCAACGTGTGATAAGTCAGTAGAAAAATGTAATTGATTTAATAATCACAGAAAGTCGTGCAAGGCTTTCTTCTTGCAGAATATCTCGCAAGCAAATATATCTCAAGGAAACAAGTGGCAGCTTCAAATTATCACAATATTTTACGAAAGCTGTCTCAGTAAAAGTTCTTAATAAGGTTCGCCATTATTTGATAGATTTCAGTAAGCTGTATCCGGTCAATTTAACCTGTATGTGGTTGAATTTACCTCTCACAACTGCATATAATTTTATTCAAACTTTCCATAAGTAATACCGGAGGCATAAAACCTAATACATGAGGGAAATAATTATCTAGTTAAAAGCTAAACAGATAAAACAAGGCAGTGTTTCACTCAGGAAACAAAGAAAACTAAATTCTATAGTATCGCGATCATCTGATCGTCGATTCTAAAACTTAAGATAAAAGGATATATACATAAATATAATATATCAGTTAATTTTTATGGAAATCACTCAGTAAAATAAAATCATATCATGCAAACATCTTTTCTAAACAAGCACAAAACACTTCGAAATTAAAAGCACATCTGGTAAGTTTACAAGTTCCTCGAAGAAAAACAATAATAGATTCAAAAATATATCAGTTACTGATGTGGATCAAAAGTTTTGATGTTAATGATATGAGTATTAAGAGTTGGGCACACCAATTATTATTCTTAAACTATATTCCACCAGTTAATACAGAGAATAGTATTGATCACAAATGGCAAAAAATGTCTCTTTTACTTTAAATCACTGGAGCATACATGATTCGTAAGTTGGAATCATGTATTTAATGTTTATAAAGGCATTTTCTCCCCCATGCATTTCAAGTATTTCCAAAGTTTCATGAACTAAGTCACCCAGATTCTCGCGTTTTTGTTGACTATAATCAATTCCGTCACCCAAATTCTTATTTTTATTTATAAAGGTATTCATTATAGGCAAAATCTGTCTGTAGAATGGTACAAGAGCTTCTCCAATCATTTCATCTGAAAGCACCAAATGTTGAAGGGCTTTAAGGACTGTACAGCAGACCTTGTGCTGACGTAAGTTAAGGGCAGACTTTATTGGAATAATAAGTTGTGGTACAACCGGAAGAATTTTGTTTCCCCCGTGTTCAAGCAAATCATGAACACCTGCATCTCTTAAATAATATATATTTACTTACCTTGCTTAGCAAAGAATTCATATGGGTGTTCAGTTTCTGCTAAACCTTCAAAAAACAGTGGCAAATAATGATGGTAGTCCAATTTCTCTATTTCTACTTTCCATGCAATTTTGTTTCCTCTACTATCCTGCTCCAGAGCTATGGGAAAGTCACCTCGATCATAAAAGACCTTGAACTGTGTATGATGTTTTAGCGGTCTTTGCAAGAAAGCACCGGCCCTAGGCGGAGATCCAACATCGAGCTTTCGAGTGTACGATACAGCTTTGAAAGCGAATTCTGGGTAGCATGGTCCTGTTACTTTGCGCTTCGGATAATTATCTCTGACAGGACTTACACTGTCCCCGCCCATTTTCAAAAGACTGACTACTCTGTTATTCTGACAACCATTACTTAAACAACAACTTGGAGTTCAATATCCAATATATTGTGTTGTATACTCTACTGCTATTAAAATAAGTGAGTTATGCATTTATAAATGTATTCTTGTTTCAGAATAACGGTATTCTGTCACATATCAACTTTATGTGATACAGCAAACGAAACATCTGTTACTGGATTGACATATCCAGGTATACTATTCATAAATCCAACTCACATAAATACACATTAGGTTTCGTAATCCAGCCGTTTATACATTACTGCTCCTCTTTTAATCGTTTATTTAATCAAAGAAAATACTTCCGTCTAAATAAGACACACTGAGAATTTAAAATATTAAAGCAGATAACGAATGTGAATTTTCCTTACGAGTGTAAAGTGATTAACCTGTTTGGAAATTCAACCGAATACTGTAGAGATTCGTTCACAATCTTGTCTCTTGGTTTGCTTTTCAGTGTCGTGTTATCAAGAGAGTCTGAAGTTTCTTTCGGAAAACTTCTCCTATTAAATGTTATTTTCTCAATCAAACTTGGACTGTTCTTTTCACAACAAGAAGGAATAAAATATTAGACCAAGAGGTACCATTGATAACTTTACTGATACTCAAATTTACTCTTCTATCAACTTCGATGTTCTAATAATTTCGCATGAATATTCAAGTCATTCACCTGAGTATTTTATTAATGTATTCCAGAAAAAGCCAATTGTTTAAACTCTTGTTCTAGATGAAATAAGTCAGTGGGGAGAGTTGAACCAAGTAACTACTAAGAATCGATAGACTCAACATCCTGAGTATCTTTCAAAGTTCAGTTTCGACTCTTTCATAGGATATTTTTTTCATGTATATGCTATCAAAAGTGTTTCAATGTGAAGACTACTAGTCTTAGTTCGTAGTGTTAAAATTCCTTTTTTCGACGTCCTCATACTTGCATTTTATCTCCGATCACGGACATAATCGTTCTTTTGTTAGCATCTCATGTTAGTAGCTTAGATTCAGAGACAACACCAGAAGATAGTACGCACCATGCTTATTCATATTTTTGTTATCTAGATAGGTCTTGCCTATACTTACTGTACCCGTGTTTGAACTTCCGGTAGTGAGTAACAGTAACAACAGTAGCTAGTGACATTTTAGTTTTCCTTCCACCAGACCAATATCCTTTTCATGTGTACCTTAATAAATTCATTTATACCCTTCTGCTTACTACTCTGAAAAATGGGAGGTTGAATAGCGACATAAAGCTGCGTCCACGTCAGATTAACTTAGAGAAATCTTTTTCTTCCTGCTACATTTCGAAAACCTTCACGCAACATCAAAATATATTCAGTCACAAACAGTGAGTAGACCACACTTGAACTTCGAGGAACCGCATGCTAACGAGTTAATAAGCCCAAAAAACATTCTAAGATTAGGTCAGTGCAAATTTCTTGCAATGAACATCCAAATCAATGGGATATTATTGATTACATCCTCCTGACCATACCCTATATCATGAGAGTATGATCTAGGAATGCCTACTAATTAAAAGAGATGCACCCATAACAGGCAATTCTTAAATCATGTTCATATGGGTATCTATTGCTGTCCTCCTAAAAAGGGTTTATCATACCCAAGACGAAAAACATTTTGCAGTCGATTGTCCAGTTTAATGAATGTCTCTCAACCTTTTTATCATTATTATTTTCATCGTCGACTTTGTCACCACTATCCATTTCTTCACTTGTCACCTCCTTTTACTTGTTCGCTTTTATATTATTTGTTTGTTTGCCGAGTTATTACACTCATTTGTCTTGATCCTTATCGCTCCTTCAGTTCTTAGACTATAAAAACAAGGAAAACTAGTGATGGTATAAATTCTGGAGATAGTAATGAGTCAAAAATCCCAGTCTCTAGCAACAGAATTGTGAAAAAGCTCATTACATCACTAAAAAGCGAACCTTGGAATAATGTGTTTAACTCGGTTCACTAGATCCAGTCACCTCCAATGGATCTTCAGCAAAGAAGCCAGTACGACACTGTAAGACGATTAGGCAGAAAGAGAATATAGGTAGAAATCATCCTTAGATTCAACTGAGGTAGCCTAGTGTTAAGGAATTTCACAAGGATAATTGCATTAATTGCTCTTCACCAGTTAAGACTAGGGACTCTGCGTTCGAATGTTACTTCTGCAGTGAGTGGGTTCACTGTCTCTGTGTTACTAGATAGTACTTTGGGTCCGAACTAAGTCGCACCAGTCCGTGGTTCTGGTAAGTGTGTTAACAATGTGCAATCATTGAGGTAATTAAATTGACTATAACGAAGCCATAGATCCCACCTAAAATTAATCTAACAATTCACCCAAGTAAACTTAATTCGGCCGGATAAAACCGGCCAAACAGGCGAATAAGGTAGCTGCAACCAGAATCAATGCACCAACAAAACTACCGGTCGTTGTAAACTCACCATCATTTTTTAACCGTACGTGTGAGTGTAAGAAAGGGAAACAGTGACACCAGAGCTCCAAAGTCGCTACAAATCAGGGTCAGAGATGTTCGATAAAACTCACCGATTTCGTCTCATTTTCCATCTCAGAGGATAACCTACTGGAATTTGGGGTTGTTTTTCATAAGGAACAGCGAGATAGAGATGTCGCGATACCTGGAATGAGCAGCACCCCGGCCAGAATGTGCCGTCTATCCAAATGTGAGAACATAAGAACATGACTATCTCCTAAAATTGTAGATGATGAAGTTAGCTTCCAAGGCACGATAAACTTCCAATGCAATCCGGAACACAAGACAGTAGGTGGAGAGGCTATATATGTTAACAGCCATTTCAAAGCCGGAAGATTACATGGCCGAATCATGCTCGTGTTGCTTCAACATAAATGGAATGAAACACATGAATGCATGGATTACTCGTTAACAAATGACCAGCTCCTGGAGGTTCATGTCCACACACCAATCTAAGGTGGTGACTATGGTGCAGTCATGTATATCATGGTTATAAACGAGAAGCTCAAGAGGGATGAAAGTGAACCCTACCTCTGCTACACTCAGACAGACAACAAGTGCATGAGAGAGTTTTTTCTATATGCCATACTGGCACAAGAAGGGTGGAAGCTAACAGTGATAGCAATTCATCAAATTCTTAGGTGTCTACCTTGATTTCCGTTCTCCAAACTTATTTTTAATATTATTTTATTTATGTTCCTTCTTAGTTTAACTGACCTATTTTGTGGAGTGGCTCAAAAAGAATATTTAAAGTGTATCAGCTATCTAAATATTACGTGGATAAACGTTTCCAAAACTAGCACCCTAATCCTGGTTCCCTTTTCTTTGGATCGAGTTCACTTCATTGTCCATTGAATCGAAATAATACATCCTAACAACCTCTGTATTTCAAGTATAAAATCAACAATAAATAGAAACAGTCATTTATTCTTCTTCCATGAACATACTAAAGCAAGGTTTATTGGTATTCATTCTGATGTATTTTCAAATGTGCATCTAAAGACGTAGTTGAATAAACGCTTATTATTGATTTTTCGCAAGTAGATACTTGACAATTTAGACACCAGATTTCAAATTTTTATTTTAAACAAGCCCAAGAGAAAATGATAGCCAGTTTATTTCTAGTAGACAGACAAATTGAAAAGCCTGTAGATGCTGATCAACTACTGTCAATTACAAGGAACTCAAACACCGTGTATCATTGTGAGTATCTTCTTATTTACGTATTAACAGTTTAACTAATTTTTATTTCCCCAATTCATTAACATCCGAACACCTTGCCTGCTTACCAATTTATCGCTTTACTTATTAATTTTTAACATTATTTCAACTCTTTTTTTTCTCTTTCTCCTCGTTCCAGCTCCCTGTCCTTCCTATTTCCTATTTCCAAATCTTACAAATCATACCATTCGTTTACTTAAAATGTGTGATATGCTATGCGGATATATTGTCTGGTAAAGTTGTCTGGATTGCTTGTAATGTCGGAACTAGTAGAGAATGTTAATTCCAATAAGGTGTACAAAAAAATTGAGAGTAGACTATAGACCATTATTTACAATTAACCATTAAACGCAATAGAGCCTAACATCACAAAAGGAGGGAGGTTGGTGTATCTGACCAACATTCATGACGGTGGGGCGATAACCTCAGTCTACCCATGTCCGTGTGGCAGAACATTTTGTTTGCTTACGGCTCCTTACGATATAGCAGGATGTAACAAATCAGTGATATTGATGTTACTTTTCCTTGTTAACCTCGTCTACAACCCATGTCTGTAACCTTGCACTGGTTTTTACTTCCTACCGAGAAATCCTATTACAAGCTGGTCTGCACAACTATACTAAAAAAAGAGCTCATTCATAACTTCTTGAGCCTCAGAGTTAAAAATATAAAGAATAAATAAAACAAAAAATTATATCACTGAGCCTCTTTATTATATTATATTTTGTAAATCAACATTATTACTGACAACTTGGTTCTTCTGAATTTCCTCTATTCATTCGACTAACTTCCTATTAAATATCTCGCTACTGAATTGTCTTCATTAACCTACATAAGTGCAGGTGTTTAGTTTTTGTTAAAAAAGTCTGAGTAAACATACCTTTGTTTTATCCATAAACGTATGTGCAAAGCCGTTGTTCGTCTTTGAACACGAATATTTTCTGTTCCGCTCCTCGTCCCGTTTTCTTTATTCCTCTTTTTTCAGAACCTTATTCCAATCCACACATATTAGTCTGGATATTTGCAGCAGACTTGGTTACCCTACCCAAAAACATGTGAAATCATTAGCTGATGAATATCAACCAGACCTTTGTACATTTACCGCATCAATTCTTGTTATATGAAAACCTATCTCTACCATGAATCGTTTCTCAGTCCATAAGATGATTGTCGTAACGCAACCTTCGTAACTAGCGCCAATTATTCGCATTGTACATTCCATCTTTAAGAAAACAATGAATCTTGTGAAATGTTTCAGTAACTGTATACCGTTTAAAAAAAATAATATGTTGCTAATCTTAACATTTTGATCTTGCCTGTAAATTGGCATGTCTCTTGTAACATGTTTGTTATTTGAGAATAAATTATTATTATTATTATTTATTTTGTTGAATAATGAATATGTTTATTGTACAATTAGATAATTCAAATTTTGTTTAAATTTGATGTAACAATACAATACAAATTCATACCGTGTGCCTCAAATTTAATTTTTCCCCTGCTTTTTTCAAATTTTCGATTTACCTGTGGTTATTCGAAATGCGTTCGATTATTTCAAATTTACGTCTGGCGTTGCTGTGTAGATGCATTCATCACTTTACTGAGCCCCAATAGGAAACAGAAGATTGTTATCGAGTTTTGATTCTTGATATAACATAACATTGAGAAAGGTTGCATTTCCACCTATTTCACTGCTGCAATCGGTTTAGAAGCGTATAGTATGTTGAAAGTTTCTGTATCTGAGACAAACTAATTCAACTCTCGTTTAACAAACTTTAGAGAATACTAACCCATCAGTTACGCATAATAGCTCTCAAAACACGAGACACAGCACAATTCAACAAACTGATTCATGCTCCGATTTTGTACCATAACTCTAAACGCAATCCTCTAATTGCCATCTTAGCGAGCAGCTTCAAATCCAACTACGTGACCTCCTGACTGCTGAAATAAATGATCCTTATTCAAAGAAGTAGCCAGCGCAAATTCCGAATCGCGCCTCCCAAGTGGCTAAACGCTTACTTACAAAGTTGTTAATAGTGAATCATGTGATGTCATGAAACAACATGATGTCTTACTAACAAATGTGTATGCATCTACGGTGAATTTCCTCGAACAAGAAAAGTTCCATCTCCCTCAGTTAAGTGAGTAGCTTGAAGAGTATTTTAGTCCGCTATTACATGTCAAACCACGTCTTTCAATCGGTAGAATGCATCTTCGTATCTCGTGTCAGTTTTTCTGCACACTTTGCGGGGATTTGGAAGGGTTGGACAGATACAACACGGTTGAAAAGTTCCCAGTCACATACAATGAAGACACTGAATAGTAATCATTCAGAAGCAGCCAATTCGGACAGAAGGATGAAATCGTCATTGCTCTCTAGTTCTTCCAGCAGGCCTTCACAATTAATGTAGAAACTAACAACTAAGGCAGGATCAGAGAAAAGAAAATCATTCTCTCGTCAAACTTGTTGGTGGCTTGGGATCAGTGCTGATATCAACGGGAAATCGAAAAATTGTCTTGTCATACAGTAAACGTACTTAGAGTCCTTCTCCTCCACTATATGAATCAAGACAACGTATTCATATCGATCACTGTGTACCGGTCCTAAAATCATACTACACCTAAGTTGTTATTCATCCATATTTGGAATTCCCAGAGGCAGTACTTAGAACCAGTCCTAGAGTAAACATTAATCAAAGAGCAATTACGGAGATATATAGTCCTGAGGAGGTACCCAATGTATTGATAACTGATTATGGAACAAGCTCCACAAGAAAGGAATTTACAGGTTTTCTTGGTGACAAACTTATTTGTCTAAAAGTCTAAGACATGCTCGGCCTAATGGTTTAGCAGAAAAATTCGCTACAACTTTGAAGAGCTTTATCACGTCACTAAAGGAAGGTGGGTGATGTACTTAATCACTCTTTTTGACAGTAAGGCGATAAACACAATCCACCCATGTCTATGGGTATGAACATTTTGTTTGCTGACGACTCCCTACGGTATAGCAGGATGCAACTGATCAATGATATTGAAGTTACTTTTCAAAGTCAACCACGTCTACGATTCATGTTTGTAAACTTGCACTTGTTTCACTTCCTACCAAGAAATCCTATTACAAGCCGATAGAAAAAATTTTAGTGAAAAAGAGCTAAGTCTTAACTTCCTGAACTACAGAGTCAAAAAGAAAAATTATGCATAAAATATCACAAAAGCATACGATCACCGTGCTTCATTATTATATTCTGTAAATAAGCATTATTGCTAACAACTTAGTTCTTCTGAATTTCCTCTATTCATATGATTAATTGCCCATTCCTTTTCTTACTAGTGACTTATCTTCATTAACCTACATCAGTTCAAGTCCATAGTAGTGTTCTAATCAAGAAAAACTGTCTGAGTAACCATACATTTGTATTATCCAAAAAAAACCATCGGCTGAGTCATAACTAAGCTTTAAGCAAGGAAATTTTTTCAGCTCCTCTCCCCTTTCTCTTAATTTCTCTCTTTTTCAGCACCTTATCTTACTCCCTAAATTTCACCGTGGTTAATTGCTGGAGACTTGGTTACTTTACCTAGGACCCTGCAAATTTATTATCTGACGAATTTCAACAAGATTTTTACGCATTCACCATTTCAATTCTTGTTATATACAGACGTGGATTTACCTTGCTTTGGTACTCAACCAGCAGTGGTTCTTCGTAGTGCAACCGTCGAAATTCGCGTCAACCATCGTATTGTACACTGCAGAGTCTGAAACATTATTTATAATTTCATATGAGAAATGTTTGCCATCTTTATGCAGTCAAAGTCCCTTGTGAAATATTTACTTAAGTAAACAGCCTTTCACAGAAAATATGTTTGCATCTTGACATGCCTCTATCAACAAATTGTTATTCAAGAATAAGTGATTAATCACCATTATTACTGTAGTGGCGATCGTGTCAAAATTGACTATGAATACCGCTACACAATTACGAGCCCGTCACAAAGAAGGGTTATTCCATAGTTAAGAATATATTTGCTGGTGATTTTGTGGTATCGAAAGAATACCGAAATCGTGCCTGAAAGGAGGAGCGAATTTAGAGAGACGGTGGAGCAAAAACGGAAGTTTGCGCGTTCACACCGTTATAAACAAAGAGTACAGTTAAACAATCACTGGTACAAGTAGTCATAGCAATGAGTTTTTCTAATGAACCAATCGCGTTTTGTTCATGAAAGTGGATATACTAAAAACTCATGATAGTTCAGCCAAACTCTTCAAATCTCACAGACATCGAATATATTTAGTAAATAGGACATCATCAGAAGTACAGTTTCCCCAGGTAAATGATTACCCACCATGTGCAGAAATTACAGTTAAAGAAATGGTAATCGGAAAGTAAACATACATGATCTGAATAGCCATTCAGTTCACAGAAGACATGTAAAGCAAGTGAAGAATAATGAAGTGGGTGACTTTAATTCTAATCCTGACCATTCTGCAACTAATTCTGGTTCTGTAGATAATTCAAGTACTTCCGAAATTACCTGTTCTAATCCTAATGATTCCCTCATTAAGAGTGACGCCGTAGATAAGTCTGAGTTCCAGTTACGTGTAAACGAAAACACGAGTACTGAAACAAGACAGATATTCAGCATGTATCGAGTGTGGTGAATATCGAATAGGTTGATTGCTCAATTAAGTATTTTTGAGTGTTTGAATCTGACGCAGTAACACGACGCAAATTCATACTGTGTGCTATGAATGAGAGTTTATCTTGTTTCTTGTTGAAGTTCTAGTTGAACTTAAACTAATCGTTTCGGACTGGATTAGTTCAACTTCAAAAATTTTCTGGGTGTTTAGCATCATTATTCTGCAGCCATTAGGCGAAAATATATCAGAATTCGAGGTCCTGAAATCAGAATAATAAAAAGTTGTTCAAACTCAAAATTCTACAATAATGGTCATCATAAACTACAGCCGTAAATATGTATTTTGGCCGAATTCGAATAACCCAACCTAAGCCTAGGTAGTGTGAAGATTATCGTCTTGTCTTGGTAAAAGCTCATTTGGACATATTCTTGTTCATGGTGAATTCATAACTTATAAAGCGGCATAAAGTCTGCAGTTGCCTAACTTAGTAAACACATAAGCAACCTGCGAGACAGGCTAGATAGCCTCTTATTTTCTAGGGAACCGTATGATTTGAATATTGAAGACAAATGAAGCGTACATTGACGGCGTGTTGCCCACTAAAAATGACAAAGATCTTCTCACGAGCTCCAATTATTTTAGGTCAATATATCCCATTACTTTTGACTAGACTATCTCAGCCTACTTAATTATTAACTTAGACATATTCCAAGCATTCTCTCAACGTAAGACGTCTGTTATATTGAATGAATGGTTTCATATTATCAAAACAATTTGAAACATAAAAGTAGGAGACATTTCGGAGAACCTTTTCTTCAGTAACCTGCATAACATCATTATTACTTAACTGCAAAATCAAAGTAACCTCGTTTCACAACAATGACATACTATTACACTAAGGAAAAGCAACCTTGAAAACAATGAATTGACTTTCTGACACTGAGAACATGTAAACCTGCAATATTATCAACTCACCACATTCCTCAGTGTTGGAAGACTATGGAGCATTTCATTCGGCCAACATGAACTAACAAGAACAGTGAAGAAATTTGTGGCTCAGGTGGATGATAGAAGTCAGATAGAAGTCTGATGATGTTATTCAGAAGGACTATGGAAGTTCCACAGCCAAAACACCCAGCCCAGAGAACGAAACACCACCATAACACGAACAGTATAAATTTGGTTTTAAAGAAAACAGATTCATGTTATTTCTAGTAACAGAAACTCCAGCGAAATTGAAAACCAAACGAAACAAAACGCAGAACTGCATATGCCATTCATATTTCCTTACAGTGACGCGTAAATAATGGCTTCCCGCGATTAACGAACAGATCTGATTGGTTGCTAAGATGAATAACGAAGACGTGTGATATCCCTCACACCTTTCAAAGTGGGACATTGGTTACCGCGCTAGATTGCAATGTCTGTCAGCGATGTTGAAGAGGAACAGGTTTCAGAAGACTTTGATGAAGAAGGAGAAAATCTTGAGCATGGAGAAGGAAATACTGAGGAAACTGTTCATAAACAAGCTTTAACGAAAGAAATTATTGCTGAGAACATTTCAATTCCATATAGACTTGGATACGGTTTTTCGCATGCTTACATAAAACTTGATTGTTCAGACAAGTTAGTATTTTCTATCTAAGTTACCTTTGAGTATTTCAGTAAGAAGTTAACAACCATTTGCTGAGTATACTTCTCTCACGTTAAAAGCACATACTTTCTAAAGATAGTTGTAACATGCAAAAATTAATTCGAAAATAATCAGTCTTGAAAATCAAAGTTATCTTATCTCAACTGTACTTTATAAGCGATGGTTCAAGTGACTAATCCTGGGAAATCATCTCGTGGGATGTTGGAGAAAATTTGTAGCTCATGTAGATGATTATGATGGTGTTTCGTTCTCTGAGCTGGATGTTTTGGCTGCGGAGTTTACATTGTTCTTCTGAACAACATCATCAGCACAAACTTTACACAGAATTCATATTGTGCCAAACAAATTGTTTTGATATTTGGTGACCATTTTTTAGTAAATTTCTTTGACTGGTTTATTATTTTCATAAAATATTCCCTCATATATGTAGTAAAGCCTACTAAAACTCCAAGTAAGGGTAGTATTGTCCGTTTATACGTGTTATTCTAAATATCAAACAGTCAGTATGTATGGTTGTGAATGAGAATTTATGAACTAGGTGGTCTACAAGTTTGTTCAGGTGATTTAGAATCTGTGTCAGTTTGAAAGACTCAAAACTTTACCTTTTCAATCTTTTACTTAATGGTTTGTATGGTTAACTCAAACATACCTGGAGTTTAAACAGTGAATGTGTCATCATTAAAGATCAATCTTATAAGTTTTCTATTCATTATACACATGCGAACTAAATCAGTACTCTAAACTTTAACCAGTGTTATACCCTACGATTTGAAAATGTATAACTCATATCGAGCTATCGGGTAAATCTATATTACTTTTTAGATTGAAATATCGATTTCATAAATAACTATACTGAACGAATTCATAGCAATTTTTTGATTATTAGTGTCGACCGTTTTGAAGACAATTGTGTCTCTAACCTGAGATCTGTGTTACATTAGTAGTCATTAGTTAGGGTATTTCAACACTATCAAAACTGACTGATAAGTGTGAGAGATAAATAAATCTTTCACTCTTCTTCTCTTTCAAAATTTTTACTCGTTATTTTTTCATCTTATGTAAACTTTTTATCCAGTAGTTTTCTAAAAAGAGGGCTTTTTTAGTGGTACATGGTCTTTAAAAGTTTTCTGATTGATTTTAGCTTGTGATGGAAGTTGTTTACAAGCTAACCTAATTCCTCAATTCAAAAATGGACGACGGGAGTTGGGCCTAAGATTCTACAAAGAAACATAAAATCGTCTGACGGGTGTGATTAATCATCAGCTAAGATATTTCATACACGTGTTACGTGTTTCAAACACTATCGTACCTCGACAGTTGTTAGAGTAAGTTCAGAGATATTAACATGCACCGAACCAGAATGCAGCATTAACCAATGAAATAAGCAACTTTTAGTTTGAACTATGATCTAAGATCTAGACTACTTAGTTGAGGCTTATATGAAAACCATGATCAGAAGTTGGAGACTTTGTGCAATGTGATTGAAAAACGATGAAAGCCAGATATGTATTCACTCTTTATGTTAACCCAGATTTTAAGTTCCAGCATATTTTGCATTTGCACCTTTACATTCTCTCTTTTCCAAACATATTTTTAAGTTAGTTTTTCAGTCCAGCCTTTGTTATCACGTTATTTCGGTCCCGCTGTTATTTATTTTTCTAGTCAAATCTTTTTGACCAACGTTTTATAGGTAGGTACTTGGCCAGCATAAATCACTTCAGGTCCTACATTTAATTTTCCAGACAGCGTCCTAAGATTGAGAAAGATATTCCAGCTGTTAAAATTAGAATTTATGACTTTTCGAATCAACCTAATGTATAGATTGAATTAGTTGACCACTCAAAGTATTAGATATCCGCTAAGTCCTATTGCCAATTGACTGGGGTTAGAAATATGGACGGTGATTGAGCAAGCTGTATGTAACGTGTTTCATAGATGCCCATTAGTCAAATTTCTCAAAATAGAACAAAACATACAAACATCTCTTTTGCCTGGTATTCTTTCAGTGGCAAATACTATGTGCAGATTTTATATGAGTTCAACTTCTAATGTAACGTGACAATTTAAAGAGAATTTTGCATATTTAAAGAAATATCGTGATTTGAAAGAAAATGAGCTTTTTCATTCTAGCATACCAATTTCTGGGGCAGAGTTTTGGAGGTTTGTGTTTTTACATATTTGAAATCATTGTTAGACCACCATTAGAAACCTGGAAGCACTGGACGGCCGTTTCTTCCTGGTATGGGACTCGTCAGCAATGCGCATCCACGACTCCTGCACCTCGCTGGATTCGAACCCGGGGCCTTCGGTACTGTGCGCGAACGCCCAGTAGTCCGATGGTTATCTAGAAAACGTGGTGTAAATGTTATCTTTAATGGATTTTCAAGTGCTTTTGAGACTTCATCTTTTCCTAAATAGGAATCAGTATCGAGCCAATAAGTAAAATACAGTCAATCAAAAAAGACAACTCAACAACTGACAGTGAGAAATCATATCGGTGCCACAAAAACATAGTAATTACAGGTGTTAGCCATGCTAATAGCATGTTATGAATTCTATAGATTACTAACTATATCAAGAGTGGATCTAATGAAAGTGGTAACTCATAGTCGTTTATTCTGTTATATTCATAAACTCATAATCATTTAATAGCTCAGTCCTTGTATCTTTTAAACAGACTTTGTCCTCTGTTTGATGAGATTCCCAAACTCCCATTTCCATTTTGACAATTTACAGTGCAATAATGTTCTTACTATTTTAGTTCAAACAATGTCATCATTGTTATCATTCAACGTTAGAAACTGTTTGTCTGTCTTATTATATATGTACTTTACTTTCAATCTCTTTTATCTCTCCCAATGTCAGAAATCTTCTGGATATTGAGATTTTACGCAGCTACATACATTTACGCTTTATCATTTTGAGTAACAATTTCATAACAGATATATCACCACTTGCTGAATTACCGAATCTTCAATATTTAAAAGCTGACAATAATCAAATTATTTCAATTGAATCATTGAAATCATCACACTACCTTCAATATTTAGATCTTTCAAGTAATAGACTGACCACTATAAACAATCTCTCATTTCCATATTTACGACATTTAAAAGTAAATGGTAGGTTGAGTTTAGTGTATGATTGTTTCACTAAAAGAATTTCAGTTTTTTTAATAAATAAATGTTTGCATTACGGGTTTGTGTAGACTGTTAAGTTACACATTTTTTGAAACCATGAGTCGATCAATGTTGGACCACCATTATAAACCTGGAAGCACTGAAGGACGGCCGTTTCTTCTTGGTATGGGACTCCTCACCTGTGCTCACTAGTGACTAGCTTCGTGAGGGATCTACGAGTTCTAGTGGGAAGACGTGACCAGTTAAGTTCAACCTGTTCGGGTGTAGACAATAACTACCGAAGACTGTGTATGAGGTTGCGCAACTCCGTGAACCGATCAAGTTAGACATTAACACCGTTAGATACCGGCCCAGTGGTCCGTTGGTTAGGCGTACGCTCACAATACCGAAGGTCCTGGTTTCGAATCCTGCAGGGTGCAGGAGTCGTGGTTGCGCACTGCTGAGGAATTCCATACCAGGACGAAACGGCCATCCAGTGCTTCCAGGTTTCTAATGGTGGTCTAACATTGATCGATTCATTTACTTACTTACTTACTTACTTACGCCTGTTACCCCCAATGGAGCATAGGCCGCCCACCAGTTTTCTCCAACCAACTCTGTCCTGGGCTTCCCTCTCCAGTTCTGTCCAATGTTTGTTCATTCCTCTCATATCTTTCTCTATTTCTCGGCGTAGTGTGTTCCTTGGCCTTCCTCTTTTCCTTTTGCCTTGAGGGTTCCATGTGAGGGCTTGTCTAGTGACGCAGTTGGGTGCTTTTCGTAGTGTATGTCCTATCCACTTCCACCGCTTCTTCCTGATTTCCTCCTCCACTGGAATCTGACTTGTTCTCTCCCACAGTTCGTTGTTGCTGATGGTGTCTGGCCAACGAATACGAAGTATTTTGCGTAGACAGCTGTTAATAAACACTTGTATCTTCTGAATGATGGCTTTGGTAGTTCTCCATGTTTCCGCTCCATATAGTAGAACTGTCTTCACATTTGTATTGAAAATCCTGATTTTGGTTTTGTTTGAAAGTTGTTTGGAGTTGCAGATATTTTTCATCTGTAGAAATGCAGCCCTCGCTTTGCCAATCCGCGTCCTCACATCTGCGTCCGATCCACCTTTCTCGTCGATGATGCTGCCAAGATACGTGAAGGTGTTAACATCCTCCAAGGTATCTCCATCAAGCGTGATTCGGTTGGTGCATGTTGTGTTGCATCGGAGACTTTTGCTTTTTCCTCTATGTATGTTGAGACCTACTGCTGCAGAGGCTGCTGCTACACTGGTCGTCTTCTCTTGCATTTGTTGTTGAGTGTGCGATAGAAGAGCCAGGTCATCTGCGAAGTCCAGATCGTCCAGCTGCGTCCTAACTGTCCAGTTGATACCGTGCTTCCCTCCAGATGTTGACGTCTTCATAATCCAGTCGATCACCAGGAGAAAGAGAAAGGGTGAGAGTAAGCAACCTTGCCTGACAACGGTCTTCACCTCGAAAGAGTCTGTCAGCTGACCTCCGTGCACGATTTTGCAGTTGAATCCATCATAAGAATTCCGTATGATGTTGACTATTTTCTCAGGCACACCGTAGTGTCGAAGAAGCCTCCACAGTGTTTTCCTATCCACGCTATCAAATGCTTTCTCGTAGTCGATGAAGTTGATGTAGATTGGTGAGTTCCATTCAATTGATTGTTCCACAATGATCCGTAATGTAGCAATTTGGTCAGTACATGATCGATCCTTACGAAATCCGGCCTGTTGATCTCGAAGTTGTGCGTCTACGAAGTCCTTCATTCTGTTTAACAATACCCTGTTGAAGACTTTGCCTGGTATTGAAAGAAGAGTGATGCCTCTGTAGTTCTCACACTTGCTGAGATCGCCTTTCTTTGGTATTTTGATCAGGTATCCTTCTTTCCAATCTGATGGTACTTGTTCCTCATCCCAAATCTTCTTAAAGAGAATGTGAAATATTTTCGCAGTTGCTTCCACATCTGCTTTCATTGCCTCTGCTGGAATGCTGTCTGGTCCTGCTGCTTTGCCGCTCTTGATTTGTCTGATGGCTATACTGATCTCCTCAATCGTAGGTGCGCCAATATTAATTGGGAGGTCCTTGGATGCTGCTTCGATGTTGGGTGGGTTCAGTGGAGCTGGTCGATTCAGGAGTTCCTTAAAGTGCTCTACCCACCTGTTTCGCTGTTCTTCAGTGTTGCTGATTATTTTCCCTTCCTTGCTTTTCACTGGTCGTTCTGGTTTACGATAGTTCCCGGCGAGCTTCTTTGTTGTTTCGTACAATTGTCTCAAGTTTCCGTCTCTTGCAGCCTTTTCCCCCGTCATTGCTAGATCTTCCACATATTTTCGTTTGTCAGCTCTGATGCTCTTCTTCACTTCCCTGTTTGCTTCTGTATACTCGGCTTGCGCCTTAACTTTCTCTGCTCTTGTTCGGCTGACATTCACTGCTGCCTTCTTGTTCCTCCTTTCTTCAATTTTTTCAAGAGTATCAACAGAGATCCATTCCTTGTGATAGTGCTTCTTGCGACCAAGGACCTCCTGACATGTTGAAGTGATTGCCTCCTTAATCCCTTTCCAATTGTTCTCCAATGTTGCTTCCTCTCCATTGAGTAGATCCTGAAAGGCCTGGAACCTATTGGTGAGGGCTATCTTGAATTCGTTGAGTTTTACGGTATCCCGAAGAAAGGCCGTATTAAACTTCTGTGATGTTGTCTGCCCCGTTGTCCAGTGCTTCTTTAGCTTCAATCTCATTTTGGCGATCAGCAAATGGTGATCTGAAGCTATATCAGCTCCTCTCTTGGTTCTCACATCCTCCATGGTCCTTCTGAACTTTTTGTTGATACAGATATGGTCAATTTGGTTTTGAGTAGTGTGGTCCGGTGAAATCCATGTGGCTTTGTGAATGCGTTTGTGCGGGAATATTGTGCCACCGATGACCAGTTTGTTGAAGGCACATAGGTTTGCAAATCTCTCACCGTTTTCGTTCCTTTCTCCCAGTCCATGTCGTCCCATGATGTCTTCATATCCAGTGTTGTCCATTCCAACCTTGGCATTCAGGTCTCCCATAAGAATCGTCAAATCCTTTGGTGAACATTTCTCGACGATTGACTGCAGCCTTTCGTAGAATTGATCTTTAACGTCGTCATTGTAGTCATTGGTAGGTGCATAACATTGGATGACGTTCATTGTAATGTCCTCTTTCTTTGTTTTGAAGGATGCTTTAATGATCCTGGGTCCATGAGATTCCCATCCTATCAGTGCCTTTTGTGCATGTTTGGACAGCATCAGTGCAACTCCTTGTGTATGTGAAGCGTTTTCCTCTTCATGACCAGAGTATAACAGCAGTTCCCCTGAAGCTAGTCTCAGTTGTCCTACTTGTGTCCAATGTGTTTCACTGATTCCAAGCACCTCGAGGTTGTATCGTTTCATTTCTGCCGCAACTTGAAATAGTCTTCCAGTCTCCCACAATGTACGAACGTTCCATGTACCTAAAAAAATGGTTGCTCTGGTTGTCAAAAGAGGCATCAGCCCCGTGACTTCCGAGGGAACTCGGCTTTCATCACGAGACGTCATAATTCTTCTTCCAACTCCCAGGGCAGAGTTAAAATGGTTTGAATTATTTTTTCTGGTTAGCGTTTTTTTGGCAAGTGAGATTTCAACGGAATGGGGTCGCCAACCCCATGTCCAACCCTCCTCCTTTATCCGGGCTTGGGACCGGCAGTAGCCCCTAAGGTTCTACTGGCGGAGTTTTGATCGATTCATGGTTTCAAAAAAAATAAATGTTTATCACTGTGTAAATTATATAAATAGCTATATCATATAACCAGTTCACAATAATGAAATCATTCTTATTCACTCATTTTTGAGAATTTATCCAAAGCGCATTATCTCAATATGTTCATTAAGCCACAAAGATTTAAGTACAAATGAATGTCAACGTGTGTATTAGCATCCACACAGGCAAAGATACATGTAGTTGACAATTCCTAAACAAGAAAGAATGCCAATCATATTGAGTAATGTTTAAAATTGAATTGTTTTCGAAATTAAGATCATTCAAACCACTTAATTAGTAATAAAAACTCAATTTCTGAATAAAATAAAAGTGAAAAATCTTTGTGTGATAATCCGATCGCCGAAGCATCAAAGTTACGTCAGGATTTGTAAAACCTTATACACTAGAACTAAACATAGGAGAAAAAAGGAATTATTTCCAGATTATTGCCTGTTAGACAGAAAAGCTCATATTCTAAACAATGGATTAACTTATTTCAACTTGAAGGATAACTCTTTTGAGTTGACATCAATCCATTACTGTGTAAATGATCAGTTGAAATAATTGACTCAGAAAGTAATTGCAAAGTAACATTCGAAATAAATTTATGAAATTGAAAAAGTTAAGAGATAAGAATTAAGCTTTTCATCATGAACTACCATCGGTTATAGTGTAGTGAAGGAGAACACAGGTGGGGCAACCGGATTGTATTCAATGAAAATTACAGAGTTACTCAGTAAAATCGGAAAACCATATCGTAAATCGTCAATTTGCAAAATACCAGTCCATCATATCGAACTGGACTGCTCCTGTTGCAAAACATCAATCCATTGTCACTATTCATGTGTTTCATACAAATTCCATTGTGTTCTAACTCTTCCTTTATTGATCGTCCCCCATCTTCTGCTGCCAGACATTACGTTGACGCTCACGTCATATACTACTTATATGTAGCTCACACCACAATAGTACCAAAGAGTTAGCTGAATTTTTTTTTAAAAAATACTTAACGAAGAAACTACTTAACCTACAGAGCAGGAGAGTATTGCCAAAATAAAATTTGTTTTCTCTCAGTTTTGAACTTTCATAGCTAAATATTTTTGTGTATTAATTTTTTTCTAAAGAATTCCCTATAAGAATAATATAATTGTTACACATGTACGTAAACAGGTCAATTTGATATGCTTGAACTATTACGAGTTTACCTTAGTCGGAAAACGAGAGCGAAGATCGAGGATCCGGTGACACGACATGCTACTCTAATCCGAGTGTCCTAACCCCCATTGAATAAAAGAAGAAGACTTGATATGAAGTAGAACATGTATTCTACAAGCATCCGAAAAGCACGAGGTTTGAGTTCAGAAGAGAATCAGGACCCCGGACTAGGGATCCGGGTCCGGGTCATAAAACGTTACAGATAATGCATATTTATACATTTAGGTCGAATAGGAAATAGCATCGAAGTCTGTGACATTGACAGCTGAGACGACCAATAGGAAAAAACTTTTGAAGTGACATTGATAATCAGGACGACCATAAATTTGACCAGTACAAATTAACCAATAGGAATTGACTAATAGTTCTCTTAGGATAGTAAATGAATATCCAAACAATAATAGAGGGGAAAAAATTCACTGTAAACCGAACGTATCGACACTTTTCATTTACATAGAATACTTTATAATAATCGTACTTTATTAGGAGATATTCATAACTTACCATTTGACAAGTACCTATTATCACCCTCATCTATATATATTTGTTATACTCTGCTTACTTTTTTTTGTAGACAATGCAATTGCCTCATTAAAATCAGAAACCAATACAAATCTTAGTTCTGAACAACTTCCAGATTTACATACACTTGAATTACGTGGTAATCGATTGAACACATTGAATGGCATTGATGATTTGATCAGTTTAAAAACATTATACTGTGCAGAAAATTTATTACGTAGACTAGAAGGTATTTCTAGTTTAAAATCATTAGTTCGTTTACATCTACGTGATAATCGTCTATCGAAATTAACAGATTTCACGGAAACTTTGACTTCATTAGAATATATCAATTTAAGGTTTGTTTATGTTTCTTTTTTTTCAACTTTTGTTTTAATACATAATTTCAAATGATCAAATTAGTGAAAATTTTTACCGCCTAGATTAAAAACATGGATGAACGTTGCTTCTCCTTTAAGTTTAAAAAAATTCAAAATTCAAATCAGTATATGCTTTTTAGAATTTCAACTGATAAATGTGATCAAAATTACTCCAAATATATGAAATCATGTAATCCTAACCCTGAACATATAAGTACCTATTGCTTGCTTTCAGCGAATTCAACAAAAATTAAATTTCCTGCCCATTTCATTTACCTTAACAACTAACTACTGTATCCTCTTATCTTCGAATCTACACTCCACTGAATGTCATCAAGATCAAAGAAGATAGACTTGTTTATTTTCAATCTTACAAAAGAGATTTCATGTTTTGATTTTCTATGTTAATTAATAAAGGTCAGGGCAGTAAACGAAGTTGTTTTTTTAAGAATATTGAGGAAGCTAAAGGTTTCATCTCAAAATTTTATCTCATAAGAAGTGTATGGATATAACATTTCTATCCAATCATCAATATTAGTGCTTCTTTTAATCAGAGTTATGGAGATTAGTGTTTTGCTTTGATTTACACATTTGAAATCATCAACCAATCATTGTTTGACCACCATTAAAATACTGAAAACAGTGAACGGCCTTTCCGTCCTGCTATGGGACTCATCAGCAGTCCGCATCCACGACTCCTACACCTCGCAGAATTCGAACTCAGGACCTTCGGTCTGGCGTGCAAGCGCTTAACCTCTGGACAACTGAGCCGGTATCTAACGGTGTTAATGTTTAATTCTGATCAGTCTAAGTATTTTGCGCAACCTCACCCATTTGTCTTCGGTAGTTACTGCCTAAACCCGACAGGGTTGAACTCCAGTGGTCACATCTTCTCACTAGAACTTCGAGAATTCCCTCACGAAGCTAGTCACTAGTGAGCAAGGGAGTTCAACCCTATTGGGCGTAGGAAGTAACTACCGAAGACTAATGGGTGAGGTTACACGAAATCCTTAGATTGATCAGAGTTAGACATTACCACCATTGAGTGCCGGTCCGGTGGTCCAGAGCTTAGACGTTCGCGCGCAAGAACGAAAGTCGTGGGTTCGGATGCTGTGAGGTGCAGAAATCGTGAATGCGCACTGCTGATGAGTCCCATTTCAGAACGAAACAGCCTTCCAGTGCTTGGTCTAAAAATGATTGATTAATGATTTCAATTAGTATTTCTGTTTAACTTTTCTATCGGTTGACTAAATGATTAAACTAGTAAATCTGATTGCTCAACGTTTAGGCAGGGATTCTCAACACTTAAATAAAAATTAGAATAATTAATATAATTTAAGAAACTATTCATTTCTTTCAATAAACAAGTTTTTATTTATAGACATTTATTCAAGTATAATCCTCAAAAATGAATATCAGTTCATTTATATTCCTCCTTTCGTTCACATACACTGATAATAAACCATAGTTAAGTTCAAAAAAGTACATTCAAATATCTTGATAAGTCTTAGAGATTAGATATTGGCTAATACTTTTTTTAATATGAAACTTTGAATTCATAAATCTATTGTGCAACATAAATTCGACAATAGTTCACAATAAGTATTATAATGATACATTCATTAAATATAGCAACTTCGGAAGTTTTATCCATATGCAAAGTTTCCTGAACAAGCACATATGTATCAACTTATTATCAAGACTATAATTTGTAATACTTTAAAACACTGTTGAGTATCACCAGATCATTTGTAATTTTTGTTGTTTACCTGAATCCCAGTCATGTTTTACTGGTCATCATGCTTTATAAACAGATTTTCAAAGTAGATAACATTAGAGAATACCTTATAGCACCTCACATATAACTTGTACTTTTATCATTGTTGAGCTTGTATGCGCATGTACGCTTGGGCATTACTTGCTAACTACACAAATAGTTATTTGACTAGCTTTATCGATTAACAGTTTGAATAATTCGATGTCAGTATCGACTTAACATATTTGAATTAAATCCGATATTTATATCGATCATTAAATATTTTTGAATAATAAAAAAATTGTGGCAACGACTCATGTTCTTTAGTTCGAGATCATCAAGATCGAGATAGAACGGAATTTAGAAGATAAAGATAACCCAACGCCACAACCTTACTCGTATATTAACAATGAGTACAAGCTTATCGATGAATACATTTAATCTTTCACAAAATTATCAGAGAAATCTAAGGAAAATAGGTATCATGTGAAATATTGTGCATTGAACATGTACTACTAATAAGTAGCTTACGTTTATCCTAAAATATTTTCTATACACTGACATCTGTAGACCATTCTCCACAAAGCATCTAACTTCATACAGTAATTGAATTCTCAATTTGTACTATATGTGGCACACATCCCAAATTCCTTATAAAGAATAAAATATAGAACCAACCATGTTGAGAGGCAGATAAATACAAAATGATAACAATAACGGTTAGGGCGTTCGCGCACAATACCGAAGGTCCTGGGTTCGAATCCTGCGGGGTGCACGAGTCGTGGATGCGCACTGCTGATGAGTCCCATACCAGGACGAAACGGCCGTCCAGTGCTTCCAGGTTTCTAATGGTGGTCTAAGATTGATCGATTCATGGTTACAAATAAAACTTAACAATCTTCACAACAACCCCGCAAAGCAATAACAATAATAGATTGTTGAGCTGTCACAGACTAACTAAATATGATGGGTGTTAATTATTTTTATCTTGTTGTGTTACCGGAATAAATCTTTACTCTGTGACTAGTAGTTGTACAGGCCTGTGTCTACAATTAACTTTTACTGTGAAACAACTACAATATGCATTGCATTGAAAAGTTGAGATATTTACTGTTTGTTGGCTATTAGCTCCAAAACGATTTTGTACTTATCATCTGAGACTGCTTTTAGGCTGAATTCAAACGAACCATTACAATTTTGTTTCAATATACTTATCTTGAACATTGAATCTTAAATGCACCAGATTAGATTTTACATCAAACCTCTTGTCTATGAAGTAAGCTCTCCATAGTTAAAAAATTTTGTGCAATCCAACTTTTTAAACCAAATGAATTCGCATATATTAACTAGAAGTTTGAACTTATCAGTAAAAATTACACTTTTTTTCACTGCATCCTAATGTTTGTCTGTGTTTTATTATTTTAAATATGCTACAGAGGTAATCAAATTTCTAAATTTTCCGAAGTCAAACGATTAAACTGTTTACCGTCATTGAAATATTTGTCATTAATTGGTGAGTCAATCAACTTTTATTACATGTAACATGATGAAATCATTTTTAAAATGGTGTATCTGATTGAATGTGACTTATCAAAACACGACAGTAAAATGTATGTGAATACGTTGAAAATTTCAAACGGTTACAATATCGCGAAGAATCGAGAAAACCATATTCTTCACTTCTTATTGTACTTATCATCATTTATTAAGGCTTCATTGCCGCCAGTAAAATAAAAACAACTGATGTGCTAGACCTATGATGTTTATCTGCAATCCTCAGTGTAATCATTCAAACCGGCGTCGTCCAGCGTCAGAGTCAGAAACATTACGAATAAGCTGTTCGGCTTGTTAATGACCTCCTGTATTTAAAATAACAGGTCACTGAATATCAAACGGCGTGATCTGTTTTTACTCTTTAATGTTAACCAAATAATATTCCCACAATATCTGAAGATCTTTGTAGGGTCGTGGAAGCACACTATGAGTCCCATAGTACGATAAAATCAGGGCTCAATGCTTTCCGTTTTCAATGTTACTTCAACTGAAATTCAGTCAGTCAGATGCAACTTAGAACTTCGTACGTAAGTACATCAGTTCATGTTGCCATACCACATCAGCACAGAGATGTAATTTTCAGTTCAAATCCAATATTAGTAGAGGTAGTAAAGGTATTAGAAGTAATCGGAGAGGTTAGGATTAGAAGATATTATTCAAGAAGTATGATTCAGTGCGATAAGTTAAGAAAGACAAAACTAGAGGTGTTGAAGAATCCAGAAAATTAGGATTTGAGAGAACACAACGAGTAGATGCACCTGTGCCATTGCAAACGGTTTTGAGCCATGTCTTTCAGGGTCCCTAAACATCTATTATTATCATCTCGCGGACCCCAACCAGGTAGTCGACAACTACCGACATGACTCAGTCCACTTGTCAATGACCTCATGGATTTCAGCCATGTTTTGGTCTGGCCGCCCCTTACTTTCTTCCAACCTACTCCTACACTATAAAACAAAGCTCGTCGAGGCAGTCGGTGATTAGGCATACGCAGAACATGTCTCAACCACCTCAACTGATAAGTTTTAATGCTTCATCTATTGATCTGCCATTCTTGCCTAACTCAAATTTGTCTGTGACGAATAAACTCAGTAAATTAAACCGATCTTCGAAAAATTCCAACTAAAATTTTTATATCCTCATTATGTTATCCATTCAAATAGGGGTATTTAGAATATTATAGTATTATGGAGATCATTGTTTTGACACAATGAAATGATGAATGAATCATTGTTAGACCACCATTAGAAACCTGGAAGCACTGGATGGCCGTTTCGTCCTGGATTCAAATCCTGTGAGGTGCAGGAGTCGTGGATGCGCACTGCTGATGGGTCCCATACCAGGACAAAACGGCTGTCCAGTGCTTCCACGTTTCTAATAGTGGTCTAACAATGTTTGATTGATGATTTTAATGAGTATTTAGAATAATTGTGCATAGTTTTTTATACTACTCTTAGTAGTGGATGTGACCTTTGGAAATGTTTGGAAAATAAGCGATAATTAATTTTTTTTTCCAATATTCATTAGATAATCCAATTACAGAAAAAGATAATTATCGTCAAATGGTCATTGGATTAGTAAACAGACTGCAACGTTTGGATAAACAACGTGTTCTAGATATGTTTCGCAGTACAGCAATAGAATTTGCAACAAAACGTGTAGGTAAACATAGAGAATTTTTTTAATCTGTTTTTCCTAGTTGATTATCAATCAGTTTATAGTAATATAAATCGAAGATTCTATGGTTGTTTAAATTGGTTTAAAGTAGTTGAATTCATTTTTGATTTTATGTATTTCACTTTCAGTCAGCTGACATTAGTCTAATCTGATTTCTAATGCCAAATGAATTGCTGTTATGACACATGATTCATTAATCAAGCAAACTAATAAATTGCTTTGATAGAGCTGTTCTATTTCCTCGGAAAGTGTTATGTCTATACTACTAATACTTGTCAGAGATAGAAATAATCGTTATGTAAAACCATTTGTAGTACATGTTGACTATCGATTATTATCAAGCATAGTAGCTACTTTGAATTAAATAAAAACTTCATGATCGGTAAGGATTACATACTAACAGTATGTTAGCGATACAGGTAATGGATTCGGACATTTAATCTAATTCCAAGTTTAGGAAGTACGACGATTAATTTTTCTGAAGTTCTAGCTCATAACTGACCGTATCAGGCGAAAATAATGTTTATAACCATAATTAAACCAGGTTTGAACCAGTCGCTACGTTCCCAGTCAACGTTGTATGTTAACTGATGACTGAGTCATGTTGGTAGATATAGGCTACCTTATAAGCATTCATGTATGAACGCAATAAATGGTTCGAGACGTTTGGTTACATGTCCCAGACACAGTTAATATGATTCTAATGCATTCATTCTTTGTTTTCGCTTAGGTCCTGAGTTCTATACTTATCTTAAGCTCTGTAATCCCAAAAAAATTCATCGTTTATTCCTAAAATCATAATTTCTCTAACTATTATATCCTGGTGTCATTGATACTATTTCTACTCTCACCTCTGTAGTACTTCCCCCTTGATAATTTCATCTCACCTTGATCATATGTTGTAACAATGGATTAATCCATATATATGCCATGTTGATACTTTGCACGTGACTGATGGACTATCTGCGTTCAGGGTAAATTTCCTGCCATGAGGAGAGCTAAGAGCTGATATATAATATGTATACATGATATTCACTTCGAACCATTTAATATTGAAGTATAGAATTCCACAATCAAATCAAGGGATTTGATTTTACACAAATTCAATATATTCATATTCTTATCAATATCAAATGTGAATAGTATCATTAAAAACTTTGTGAGCTTTAAAATAACCATCAACATATATTACTCTTTAGTTCTGTCTTATTGAATAAATGTTGTTTGTCTTTTATTGGCATCAGTACAGAAGTAGTCTGTTTTTTCTAAAATTTGATATATACGTATGTCTGTATGTAATACAGGATGCTATTGTATTTATGTATGTGTATTATTAAGGTTGCCTCTTTTACACACTGAATGACAAGGTCATTAGCCATATTTGAAAGTTTTCAACATGGCAGGTTGTTTTTTTCTTTTTTTGATTTGGTATTACAACTTTTTGATGTGTTTTTTTGTTTTACCACAACACAGTGTCAATAGAAAGTAAGCTCAGTATTATTTGCAAAACACTTGATATATATTCAAACAGAAACGCCTTTTTTATTTACAGGAAGATGACTACAATGAAAGTGTAAAAAGGCGTTTACTTGAGATTTGAGGTTTAATATCTCATTCTATAAGTTATACAGTAGAAACACAAAGCTTTGATCGTTCTATTGCACAAATGATCCGTGTGCCTCCACAAACACACTGGTGGTATAACACAAGACCCTTGGTCTGAAGTTCAGTCGTTTGAATACAAAAACCATTAATCAAATCTTCTGAATTTAGCATCACTTCTGTCTTTCTGTTTGTAAGGTCATTTTACTGAATTATGCTTCTTGAATAATATTTCTGAACTCTACTCTCCATTACCAGTAATACTACTAGTATTTCTATCACTATCGATTTGAACTGACATTTGCGTCTCTGTGCTAATGCGATATGGCAACCTGAACTTATGTAGGCATGTACGAAGTTCTACGTTGTAACTGACTGACTGAATATCCAATGATTTATGTTTCTAACTTCGGTCGGTTTGCGAAACTGAACAACCATCTTTTATGGAAACTGGTTAAACGATGTGTAAACTCCTTTGAATATAAATGTTTCACACTAAAAAACAGAACAAAGAATCAATGAAAAACATTTAATATTGTTGTCAAAGTATAAATTTCTCTTATTTTTCACTCCATCTGAATGTGTTATTGAATCAATATGCTGCTTCCACATTTCCCCAATATTTAATTTAATTTTGAAATTCAAACTTATGAACTACATTGAATGATTTATCCTGCAAAATGAGATAACTGTACTGCAGATGGAGAATAACTAACGAAAACTGACTTCCGTATCCAGACTGATACCGACAATCTCATTATTACGTTGAATATCTCTGCGAATACATTAGAACATCGTCACACAAAAAACAAACAACATTCAGCTTAATTGCAAAATCCTTCGTATCCTTTAAAACGTCAATTTTTTTTGTTCATTTTCCATTCAATAGACTGATATACTAGAACAAGAATTAAACGAATCTGATACAATTGAAGAACAAACACCTGAAAGTATGAAAAAAGATTTAAGCGAGGAAAAAGAGAAAATGCCAGGAGAAGAAGAAGAAGAAGACGAACCAGAAAATAGTGACAATGAAGGTGATAAAGAACAAGTTGAAGAGGAAGACGAAGCAGTTGAAGATGAAGTAAGAGAGAAATATTTTCATAATAATTTATATGTTAAATGGTGGAAGCTAGTCATCATGAAACTTGGTTGAACTATCTTGTACTCATTTGCAGAGTATACCTTTGACTTTGAGAGAATCGATGCTCTCAATCCCTGTCAGTCAGTTTCATATAATACGAAATGTTATTACTGAGTTTTCTAGGCACGATTTAACTTCTGGCGGGCTGAGATATTTACAAATGATCAGCTCTAAAGGATTGTCTTTTGTAAAAATCAACTTTTATTATTTGAATTACAACAGTAAATAATCTGACTAAATGAAACTGAAACTAACAGAATAATTTCCTTCCGCATAGTTCCTTGTGAATACTGGCTAATAAGTAAGTGAATTTAAGCTACACATTGCAGTTTGTATCAAAGGAATTAGTTAAATGAATAGCTGAATTTCGGCTTTTGATATTTTAAAAACAATTCGGGAAAAAAAAACCAGAACAAAACTTCATACATTCATTAATCCCTATCAAATATTTCACTTCTAAGGAACATATATAGTGTGCCGATTTACTGCGTGTTCTTAAGCTCGGTAATTAACTCGTTCAGACAATCGTTGCCAAATAGCGTCTGACGGTTGATAAATCCGAAGATGAACACAAAGTGATGAATACGTTTATTCGGAACACACCACAAAGCGAAGCGGAGAAGGCTAAGAGCCAACTCAAAGAGATAGAACATGACTAAAGAGTATATAGTTAGACAAAAATAAGACAGACATGCAACAAGGGAAATAGGCATGCACAGACATGAATAAAAGCAACGAATGACTGACAAGGTCAAATGACAAGTGGGACATGTCATGTGAGCTCATACAAACCAGACAATAATAAGAACGAATGGTACTTATAGATTGTTGCTATAAAAATGGCTTGGTTAAATAAATTAATCGAAAGGGCTTAACCAAGTTAGATGTAAGCGAACTGGAATTTAAGTGGAGGCACTACACATATATACATACAAAAATAGTCAGAAACTAACAAGAAAATACGAAAGAAAAAACTCTACTATTAAAATTCATAAGTTAGAGCCACTCTTCAACAGTAATTTCTTTGTAAATGATAAAAGTCAATAGTAATACACAAACCATTATCACTTCTCTATGCTTAAATTATTGTTTTAGTTTTTGGCTGCATAAACCTAAAATTTATGTGAATTTATATAAAATTATAAAAAAATTTAACATTAGAACATCACTGTTTAACGACGTGTGGTGTTTTTTTTTAAAAAAATAAATGGTATTTTGCACAAATTTATTTATTTTGTCCTTTTGTCACAATATTCATCAAACAAAAACAACAATAACCAACCAACCAAACAACGAAACAAATAAAACTAATATTGAACAAACTAATCACATTGAACATTGAACATGACGTAAATAAATATGATCAAATCAAATCACAAATATTTTGGTTTTTTGTTGTCGTTGTTGTTGTTGTTAAAACCAAAAAACTTCATTATTATTATTATTACTATTATTATTGTTATTATTATTATTATTGATATTGATATTCATGATCCGTTCAGCTGATGACCTAGATAGTAATCTATAAATCATTATTAATTTGCTCAAAAATTATTGCATTGCGGGTTTGGTGTGAAGATTGTTAAGTTTTATTTGTAACCACGAATCGATCAATGTTAGACCACCAACATTAGAAACCTGGAAGCACTGAAATACGCCCGTTTCGTCCTGGTATGGGACTCATCAGCAGTGCGCATCCACAACTCCTGCACCCCGCAGGATGATGAGTCCCATACCATAAGGACGAAACGGCCGTCCTTCAGTGCTTCCAGGTTTCTAATGGTGGTCTAACATCGATCGATTCATGGTTACAAATAAAAATGATTGAACTTTTATTTCTTGCTCACTTTTTTTTTAATTAGGTCACTCACTCTTTTATTAATTAATTAACACCATAACAAATTCGATATTCTATCTAGCAGTTGATAATTTATCATCATTAATTAATTAATTCAAAAAAATTGCTAACTTGTTTATACACAGAGAAGAAGAAATTCAATTGTGACATTGACAGGAATTATGTTTTTCTAAAAACGTTACAAGTCAATGAATGCATTAGAAACTACTGTTCTAATTAATACTTATTGATTTTCAAATAGCTATCTGCTTTAAAATTAATCGGTGGTTATATATATATAAATACCAAAATCGAACAAACCTCTTATGGAAATATAACGCTGTTAGTTAAGACACTCAATGTATATATTCAAATTCCTAAAATTGTCATAATCCATCTAAGACCCCATTGAATGTGAATCTAAAACTGGTTGAAATTTAAGTTTATTTAAATCGATGTAAAGTTCATGTCTAAACTAAACAATAGTTATGGGTTTATTGGTGAATGAATCCTAGATAGACTTATGGTATTCCTACCTAATCATATGTATTGGTAATGATATAGTTACTTATCACTGTTATTCAATGGTTTGTCATGTTATATTTAAAGTTTCTTTAAATTTTTAAAAAATTGAATTACTGGAACTCCAATTTCTTAGTTTAAAAATAACAGATTGATCATTAAGACCAAAGAGTCTTGAACTCAATCGTTTGGGATGTTAAATCCTCAGAACTTGCTTGATAAATGTCTTTAATTTGGATTTTATTCATGAGCTGATCAGTTTACCTTGAGATCACATTTCCCACCAGGAAAAGCCTTGGTTGTGATTGGTTACTGTGTTATTTTAGTGTGCTATTTCGTGACTATCCCAAGGACGTTTCTGTGATTTATAAATAAACACGATTTGTGTGCTTGAATTCATTGTGTACTGGTTGGGTGTTTGTAGAATACACTTTCTACGCTATATCTAGACTTCTTGTTAGTACATTTGTGTCAAGGGATCCTAGTAGCCTTCCTTGACTCTGATTCATTGTTTTGTTCTCGTTATTCGACTAAGATGAACCCGTAATAGTTTTAAGCAAGTGTAACATCAATCTCTAATAGTATCATGATATTTTGCTTACTATAGAAATATCCTAGACTATATGGTATAACATCTGTCTAACACTATAATTTTCAATATTTCATCAAATTGATGTTAGTTCACAATGTAAATCATTCGCATCTGTTTATTTATATCATACGTAATTGATTATTTAAGAAAAGATGACTTCAATGAATATTTTCGGTTTACTTGTTTGTTTAAAGGATGTTGAGGATGAAGATGATGGTGATGATGAAGAATGAAAAACAGGTGGGAAAAAGAGAAAAAAACTTGATCAGTCATGACAAAAAAAGACAAATCTAACTTATGAAATCATGAAAAAAAAAATAGATGCTTTTATTACCTTTTTTTTGTAAATTTTCTAATAAACCAATAATGATAAAATAAAATGATCCTTTCAAATTTACTCTTATGTATTGTGAAGTTAATGACTATTGTATTTCTGAAATCTTACTCAATCTATTGTTTTTTTAACAATTAGAGTTATGAAGATTAGTGTTTTAACACATTGAAATCATTAGTCAATCATTGTTACACGACCATCAGCAGTGAACATTCACGATTGATTCAAGTTAGATATTAACACTGTTAGATACCGGTTCATTGGTCACGTAGTTAAGAGTTCATGCACGATACCGGTGGTTCTGGGCCTGATATCCGTTCTCAGGGTCGTAAATGCTCACTGCTGATGATTCCTATACCAGGTCGAAATCTATTTTCACTATTACTAATTATTGTGCAAAGTTAGGTTGTTCATCATAGTTGACTGATGCATCAAAAAGTAAAGGACACCATCTATAACCCTTTTAAAATCAATACTTCACTATATATTTAAAAAAGAATTCAATTATCTAAAATACTTTTGTATCCTTCTAGTAATTCTGGATCTTCTAAATAATGAAATAGTATTTAACAACTAGCATAAGTTGATGGAAGAATTTATCAAGTTATTGAAGCTTAAATAAATCTACGATGGTTTTTTGATATTCCGTATAATTAAATTAAAATCTTCAGTAGATGAATCTAATAATCTACTTTCCAAAAGCATCGGTTTTAATAAAATAATACATTGTTTGGATAGAGCTGTTGAGTTTCATTGAAATTATGAATTGTTCATTGTAAGACCATCATTAAATACTTGGAAGCACTGAACAACTGTTTTGTTCATCATCATCATCATCAGAGCGTATCCATGACCTCTAAAGCGGGAATCATACCAGGAACCTTCAGTCTCGCTCATGAAAGTTTAATTGTTTGACCATTAAGCCGCCATCGAACAGTGTTAATATCTAACTTAAATCAATCGTAGATGAACACTAGGAATCAGTCCTATATACTAAAACAAAACGGTATTCAGGTTTCTAACACCGGCCTAATACTGATCAGTTCATCATTTCAATGGAAATCATATATATATAAATCTATTCAGTTATCAGTAACTGCTACAAAGAGAATCATCCGTTATATTGTAGCCATTTACATTTGTCTAACATTAAACAGTAAGCATAGAAATGTTAAATATTTCGTCAATGTGCATAAAAATAGTTTTACAGCTATGTATATAATAATAATAATAATAATAATAATAGGCACACAATTTCATCACACTACATTATTATCAATACTATTTAAATAATCCTAATGTTTACATTTGAAAATATTCATGAAAATTTATTTTGAAATTAGCACACATTGAATACCACCACAAATTTTTAAAAAAAAGTACAAAAATTGATATAAAGAAAGTGAAAATTTACCATACAAACACACTCTCACTCTCGTTTGACACGTCCTCAATAGAGTATTAGTTAAAGTTCAATAGTGAATTTATTTTTAATAATAGAAACAAAATTTGAAAATTGAATGTTTCTAGTTCTTTTTTCTTTTTTGAAAAAATTAACCGAGATGAATACATAAAAAAAATGTTGACGATAACGTCATTGTAATAACACTTGAAAATTTATACCATGATCCAAGTATACATTTTTTTTTCATTTCAATATTCATGAAATTAAAATGTGTATGAACATGTTACAGATTAAATGAAATCTTTAAATGAAATCAAGAATCCTTTTCAAATGATATTGTATATTCTCGGAATGTTGCTTTTGTTATGCTCGTCAACTGATATGCTTGAATGCTATTACGATATCATCTTAGTCGGTTAATGAGAGCAAAGACAAATCATCCAGTGACATGATAGGTCACACTAATCCGAGCGTCCAAAGGCCCTACTAAGTAGCGGAAGAAATCTTGATATGGTGTAGAGAGTGTATTCTACAAGCCCTCATAAAATACGAGATCGATAAGCACACAAATCGAGTTTATTTACATATCATAGAAATGCCCTTGAGAGAGCCACAAAAATAGCGTACTAAAATAATACATCAACCAATAACAGTGAAGGATTTTCCGGGTGGGAAATGTAATCTCAGGGTCAAATGATCATCCCATGTTCGAAAACATACAATTCAAAATTATGACTTTTATCAAGTGATTTCTGGGGATGCATGTATAACGGCTTTTTCTGATGCGTCTGAAAACTGATGTGAAATAACAGCACCTAGGCCATACGCTGAAGCGTCTGCTGCTACGATGATTGGCATGGATGGATCGTAGTGTGTCAACAATAATTCCAAGCTAAATATGGACTTCAGTTTACCGAAAGCCGCGTCACACTTTAGTCCAATTGCAAGTGCTGTTCTCCTGCAATAGACAATTCAATGGAGCGTGAATATCATGCATCGAGGGAACAAATGCTGAATAATAACTGATTAATCCGAGAAAAGATCGTAATTCCGAAACATTAGTGGGAGTGGGCATCAGTTTGATAGCTCGGATGTTCTCAGCATCCGACCTGCTGCTGTCGACTGCAATAAAAACTCGCAATTTCCTGGGCGTAACCGGAAACCATTGTCACTGATGCGTTGTAGTACTAATGTCGTGAGTTCCCGTAGTTGTTCTAATCTCGTTTCAACGATCAAAATGTCATCGAAATAAGCCACGACCCCTGAGATACCTCATAGGATTGTATCCATTAATTTCTGGAAGATGGATGGGGCAGTCTTAACTCCAAAAGACATACGGTTGTACTGGAACATACCACGATGAGTGTTGATAGTAAGCAGCTCTTTAGATGCTTCATCGACTTCCACTTGCAAATAAGCATCAGTTAGATCGAGCTTTGCGAAGAACTTTCTCCCATTCAGCATAGTGAACAGATCTTCTGGGACTGACAGAGGATAATGGTGCTGTTCTAGAGCTGCATTAAGACCTGTAGAAATGTCAGAACATATACGTATCGTGCGTTGGCCTTCTTGATAACAACTATAGGTGCTGACCAAGCAGAGTAAGAAACGGGAGTAATAACTCCTTGTTGTTGAAGGCGATCCGATTCTTCATCTGCTGTTGCTAATGTTGCATAAGGCACGGGTCTCTTTTGGACGGAAAGCAGGCTAAGCCCAAGGTTTCAACAGAAGTGTTGCTTTCATGGCAGTATACCGACCTAATCCAGTTTGGAAGACGATTGAAAACTGCTTCATTAGATTCCTCGTATATACTTTGGTGTCATGTGGTCGTGATACCTGGTGGCATATTGTATTTAACGGGACATCAGCTAATTTAAGCTGGTCGAACCAATCTAAACCAAGTAAATTTAGGTCAGCTGGCGTTATATAACCTACACCAGTAAATGACGAGTCTCGGAAGGTAACTTAACATTCCAATTGTCCTAACAGACGAAGGTAATTACCACATGCTGTACGAGGCTTCTGTGTTGTGTCCTGCAGGCTTGGGCTGCCCAATTTGGTCCAATTTTTGCGTGAGCGGATGGTGATGTCAGATGCGGTGTCTGTTTACAATCTACACAAATGCCCGTTAGCATTCAAGTGTAATGAATTTTCTCTCACCTGGTGATGAGCCTTGACAGGAAGATATTAGACTCAATAAATCGGTACCGGATCTAGGAACAGACTTCTTGATCGGTTAGGCTTTTTCTTTAGGCAAAAACCATCTTTACGACCGATGACCTTATACTTCCTGCATTGATGCTGCCTAAATGGGCAGTTTCGTACATAGTGCCATGAGCCGCAGTGCCAGCAAGGAGTAGGAGGATTCGTTTTCGACTTTTGGACTGAGGTGAAGTGGGATGAACTGGGTGCAGCAGGGGCACATTTATACTGGTCAGGTATCTGCCGTACTAAATGCACTTAAGATCGGCTTGACCCACCAACCTACACTATAGTCGTGCCTGGTTGTAGATTAATGAGACGTTGGTATTCGCTAGCCATGTCACTAAGGGTGAGCTTAGAATCTTGCTCTAATCGATAAAGTAGCTGTGTTCTTATGTCACTGAACCTTTGGGACTGTATGCTGCAAATGAGTATTAGGGCTTCAAACTGACCTTCAGACAAAGACTTCAACTGAAAGTGTCCGCATTCACGGTTGACGATGCCCAGGTGCGTAAGAAAGTCATCGTCTTTGCCCATAATTAGCTTCAAACATCGATAACGCGTATTAAACAGTGACGAGTTGTCTCCAGAGTGTAGGCTTAATGTCTGAACTGTCCCTGAAAATGAGTGATCCCGTGGGTTCAAATGTAGGATCACAATACAGTACTTGTCCAGCTCACTTGCACACAACTTTTGAAGTAGCAGCCGAACCTTCCAAGTATCATCTTGGTTGGCGAAATCCAATTTAAATAAATCTTCATACCGCTGGAACCACATGCCAAAAGTAACATTGATATCAGGATCATAATGGACTTCAGCTATGCTATTTATGATGCCGTCGACCGATGGGGCTTTAGTTGCTTTAGATGGGCTAGGCTGTCTGGAAGGGGAAATCTTCATGTCTGTCAACATTTGCATCATTTTCAGCTACTGCTCAAATAATAATTATTTATACATCACTGGAACGTCCTTAAGGGAGTTGGAAAATAGCACACTAAAATAACACATCGACCAATCACAGCCAAGGCTCTTCCTGGTGGGGAATGTGATCTCAAGGTCAACTGACCAATCCATGAATTAAATCCAAATTAAAGACATTTATCGAGCGAGTTCTGGGGATCTAACGTCCATATCAACAACAAGCGGATTTTTTCAGAAAATGATATCAGTTCGAGCACTTATCTTTCTCTACTCTTTCATTTCTACGAACCATTAATGATAGCACATTTATATGTAACTACAGATGCAGATAAAAGTTCAGGTTTTCTATTCATCGAGTCGACATAATGACCTATCAGTGATAACATATTGCTCAGATTATAAATGTTTCCACCCTGCTCAAACTGTCTCACCGTCATCCTTTTCCTTCGTAGCATATCAACCATCAGTACTAATCTAAACAGATTAAAGAATA